CGCTGCCTCGTGCTAAGTTTCATCAGTCTAATGCCGCTCCAATTTGTGTTCCTCTGAAACGCCTGAGGACTCATGACAAAACTCTCTGAGCTAAAGCTGTTCTTGTCTCACTCATATCCCTCTGTAGTCTGCATCAAGGAAACCCACCTGGAAAATTGGCACTCCCCACGGTTCCCGGGGTACCTGATCTATCGTCAGGACAGAGCTGACGGCTACGGAGGACTGCTGATCCTAGTTGGTGCCCAATGCCCATCTACAAAATCTACAACAGAGAGCTGCCACCTTGGAACCATTTGCAGATGGACAGATGCAGGCAGACCTTGGCAGTGGACATTGCCTACATTGGCTTATGGTCAAAAAATTTTTGCTTCTACTACCCTTGCTTTTCTATAATGCAGACTGAATTTGAACATTATCTTTCCCATATTGGGACCCGAGACCTCATCAGTGGCGACTTTAATGCCCATCACCCACTTTGGTGTTGCCTAAATGCTAAACCAAACAAGGCAGGAGTCTCTCTCTTCAATGCCATTAGCAAGACTCCTCTCTTGTTCCTTTAACACTCCAGGCATTTCTACCCGCCTAGGCCCACACTCAGATACAGGCTCAGTTCCGGACCTATTTTCTGGTGCCTCTCCCTACTTCACATACTCTGTTTCACTCGTCTTGTACTTGGAGAGCGATCATACTCCTTTGCTACTGAACAGCACACCTCGGCAAACTCCTAGGATCAAGACTGTTCCACGATGGTCTCTACCGCAAATGACTTGTTCTCAGTAGGTAGTGGGCTTGATGGTCAACTGCTTTCCCAAACAGATCCATTCCTCGAGGAAACACACCACAAGAATCTTACCAGGCTTTCTCATTGGCGGTGGTGAAGCACAGCAAGCGCCGCGTCCCATTGAGGTAATCAGTTAACCAACATCGGCCAGGATGCCCATGGTGGACATCTGCCTGTGCCAGGGCGGTGCATGCAAGGAGGAAAGCGCGCAAGCTATTCTACCGACACCAACACCCTCAAACAGAAAAGTTCACTCTGAAACGGCTCAAGAAGCAAAAACAGCAGAAGAAGCTGCCAAGAAAGAATCCTGGACAAAATTTCTCTCCCATATTAGCCCACAAACTCCTCTCACAACGGTCTGGAAAATGTTTCGAGCAGTGGCTGTTTGTCTGTGAACCCAGCAAAAACAGCATACCAAATATTTACACGTAAATATTCATTCATCCTCTTCCAGCCCTCCACATCTCGTGCACACCCATCCAAATTACTCGTATCCAAATTACTCGTCAACACCGATTTCTGCGGCTCACATTTGATTCTCCGACCTTGACCTGGAAGGCCCACATAAACTGCCTCCTAACCAACTGCCAAAAACGACTAAAGATCCTGAGAGTTTTGAGCGGCACCAATTTTGGAGGCTCTCGCGTGACCCTTCTGCGCTTCTACCAAACATACATCCGTAGCTACACAGACTATGGGCTCCCAATTTACTTTTCAGCATAGCCAACACTGAAAATGCTGTGAAGGTTCTGCGATGTTGAGAATCGGCAACAGGCCGATTCATACATATGGACCATGGTCTTTCCCTCATCGCAGATGTAATTCACTGAGTGAATTATATACATCTAGCCTTGATAGGAGGGTTCAGTGTTGGTGGCACGCCTGATTGTGGGGTCAGTGCGATCTACTTCGCTACTGTCACTATACTGCGAAGCTGGACTGCTACCGCCAGAAATCCACCGCAATCAACGCACAGCCACGTTCTTCCTCCAGCTTCTACATCGCCCTCCAACCCACCCAGCGCACCTCCTTTACAGGCGGACCAATACCTCCGCATTGCATCATTCCGCAGCCAGTCTCACAAACTGCTTCTTTTCTCACGAGCTATGGATATACTTTCACGTTACCAAATAGCCTTGCCAACCTCTTTGCCTTCGGCGTCCACAACAGACCTTCCACCATGGAACAGAAATTTTGGAACAGAACTATGCTATCTGAAACCTAACCTCAGATGCGGTGAACGTAAAATTACGTAATTTAACTATGACCGGAAGTCAGATTCGATCCGCGGCCTGGGGGTGCACGGCAGGTTCTATGCGAGGCCGGAGGAAGACAAAGCCGAGTGGTTCACGGCTGATTGGTGGATGTCCGGAGAGATCCAAGGCGTTCGATTCAGGGCTTATTGGTGCACAAAATTGGTGGTGCACGGCTGCGCTCCCGTTTATCTTTTATGTCCATACTCCATTAGTGATTACTGATTATGTCTCCATAGACCATTTTAAATGCTTAATGCTAATCAACAAATTTGTTCATTATTGATTAAAAATTAGCAACATTAAAGATTTGAAGTTGTTTATGTTAAATTTGCTTCCAGGGTGACGAGTGAGTTCCCGCACTGTAGGTACGGGAGCGCAGCCGTGCACCACCGATTTTGTGCACCAATAAGCCCTGAATCGAATGCCTTGGATCTCTCCTGACCTACGCTAATCAGCCGTGCACCACTCGGCTTTGTCCTCTTCCGGCCTTGACCACCACCTGCCGTGCACCACCAGGCCGCGGATCGAATATGACTTCCAGGCATCCTTAAATTACGTAATTTTACGTTGACCGCATCTGAGGTTAGGTTTCAGATAGCATAGTTCTGTTCCAAAATTTATCGTCCTTCGACAAGTGGCCGTTCGACCGAGGGCTGGTTCGACCCACGGCGTAGATACGGACGGCTTGAAGTGTTGAAGGCTACGTTCCGGAAGGCAGGAATCATGATGGTCTATTATATCCAGGGCAGTGGTGGTCTTCGGCAGGCGATCCGTAGGTGCTACTGTAGTACTGTTGAGTGTTGACTCAGTGTTGAGTGTTGTCCCTAATTTTTTGCAAGTCCCTATTTCAAAGTAACAATGTGTAGATTGCCATGTCCCGTGTTACTTATTAATTATTGTTCAGCTTGTGATCAATTATTGAATTAGGTTGTATTGCAATTTGCAACAGGTCAAGTTGTAGTAAATGTCTATGTTATGACAGTTTTCTTGTTTCACTCCTATGAGCAATTTATTAATTCAGTTATTTTTTTATAAGTTAAAAAACAATTACTCTTTAATTTTATTTTGCATCCACCAAGGAGTTTCATTTTGGAGTTTGCAAATGCAAATCATAGGAGGCAGTAGGCACTAGGAGCAAATTCAGTGATAGGCCTACTGTATTACCTATTACTATACTCTGTACACATTTTTAAATTCTAAGTGTGTTCTTGCATTTTATTATTTAAAAATCTTGTCTCATGAAATTTCTTCATATTGTCAATTGTTTATAAGTGTGTTTTGTTAGGAAAAAGACACAAATACCAAAGTTCAAACCAAAATTTTATTTGAAAGACAGGATTTGTCCCAGAATTCAGTGCTGTTTTAAATTGTGACAATAAAGTCAGGCATCCTGGAGAGTGGAGTGGAAACTGGAATGAAAGAACACTGCGTAACTGCAATAAATCTGAATTTCATTCTAAAATTGGGTTTGGGTCTTTCATAAAATTCAACAATTCAAACAGATGTGTTCACAGTTCACTATTTCAAATTTAGCGGAGTAAGATAAGAGAGTGGTCGCATTCCCAGGTTAACCTACTCAAATAAATCAATTGAGCACAGATGTCGAATAGCTGGTTAGCTGGCACCCGCTGACGTGCAATGATTATGCAGCAAGAGAGTCAGTGTCAGGTATTCTGCAGTTATACTGCGAAAAAGGACTGGACTTTACTAGTACAAAATTAAATTGGGCATATAAAACTTCTGAATAAGATCAAGTTAATTTCCATTTAATGAGGCAACACTAAATTCAAGTTGATTTAACTTACTAACCTTCTAAATTAATGCTGCTGGCTGGGTTTAGAAGTGGCATGAAAGCCTTTCAGGAGTAAATTGTTAATAGGTGCAAGCACAAAGAAATGAAATGCTGGCCGGCCCAACTTAAGGGTAACAAGATGAGTTATAAAGAATGAAAATGCCGGCAATGATGTCAAGTATAATAAATGTGTCAACCACACCTAGAATGTTGGGCCAGACCAAAGAGGTGACACTGCATGCCTTAAAGTAATAAATTAAGGCCCTTGGCATGCATTAAGTCAAATGGATTAATGGAAATGATATAGGTTGCACCAAGTTTACAGTACAGCTATCCCTTGATTAACGCGGTTAATAAATCCCCGAGTTTCACCGTGTTATGCAAAACCGTGCTAATCATGTTTAAGAATATATGGGAATAATTATAATGAATCCTCAAAAATAGCAAAGTTACATAATAATTTTTTTTCTAAATAATCATATTTTTTTTCTAAATAATCGGGGAAATAAATAAAAGAAATGCAAATGAATTAACGTATTGTTTCCCGTGCGTATTGTTGACTCGGGGAAACCCTAGGTCTTCACCAATCTTCGTTTTCGTTTCACCATTATCAAAACGCTTAATTATTTCAAGCTTAGTCTCCAAAGTGATATTTTTATGTTTAAGCGTTCCCTTTTTGTCCATATATATACAGTTGCTCCAAGGAGTTGTTATTAAGGTACTTGATGAATTATTATATTTTTCTACTTGATAATTTAATGCTTGCTTTATGTTTTATAATTTTTTTAAAATTATGGTCTTAGGGTTGTGATGCATGAAATTAATAAGCCCTACTTTCTTCAATGGCAGATCCCATTGGCATCTTATCCATGCTCCTAAAGTAAGTATTTATTTTAGACTTTGTCTAAATTTTATTGCATTCAGCCTCTCTCTTGTATAGAATTTTTGGTCCACTGAATGGTATATATTATTTCTGTTCGTGCTGGTTGATGTTGCAAATCCCTCCTTAGAGCATATTAGGTTGATTTGAAATTGTAAAATCCTAAGATGTCGTTAGCATAATTTGTAATCTGCTTCAGCTTGTATGTCATGGAAAGTTGTAATTATGTACTTCTATTTCCTACTTTGGAAACCTTTCTTGTCCATATTTTGTTTCTTATTTCGATTGCAGAAGCGGAAAACTGACAAATTGTACAACACTGCTCTTGAAAACACCAATGTGGTAAAGGAGAAGAAGCTGAGATCTTTAGCCACTAAGTAAGTGAAATTCGACATAGAAATGTATTACTCCATCTGTAATGATATTCTATTGAGCTGTGAAAAAAATATATTGAAAGGGCAGAAATGGTTATAATTTGTGCCTATCTGCTGCTTCACTGAATTTTTGTTTTTAATGGCCAAAAGAAATTTGTATTACAAGATCATTTACTTGCATGTATTGTGCGGCCAGCAGTTGAACACAATCACAGCTTCTTTTAATCTAGAATAGTTTACAGATTCTATTGTTAGAGATTTTAGAATATGATGTAATATTATATTTATTATCTATAAAATATTTAATTTTCATGAGTTATTCATCAGTAGTAGGCTTTTACAAAAGTTCATGACAATCCTGACCTATGCTGATTTCAATAATGCTAACATTTTAGCGTGAGTTTTGCTGTCAAACGCAAATCTACTTGTACATAATTTTATTCCTGGTTCCGAGTTGGTTAAGTGTTACAAGTAGACAAATGTTTAACTAGTGGGTTAGTGGGTAATTGGGCACTACAGTAAATTTGATTGTTTTATTTCATGATATTTTATTCTTGCAAGTCATCGAAAATAATTTCTTGCCCTAAAAAGGAGTTTTCACTATTAATTTCATTTCAGGGGCGTGGTTCAAGTGCTCAACACTTTAGAGCAATGCCAACAAGAGAAGAAGAGAGCCTCTAACACGTATGATAAGAAGCCCACTTCCCAGGTTTCCGAAATGTCTGCTATTACCTCTGGCAACTCGGGTCTCATGAATTTTTTATTGAAGAAAACCATGGTATCTATCTTTTGTGTTATTTGAGTGGTCTGCCTCAGCTCAATATTTATTAACGGGACTAGATAAAATCATTCCATTCTTGAAAATCTGCAATTTGTGTTTCAAAAAAATTCAACTGTTTCAAAATTTTAGCTAGAAAAATTTTTGCTGGAACAGATTGCTTTTGATGTTGGATATTACTGCCAAACTCAGTCAATTGGGAGATAAACTCAATTTCTTGGATAATTATACGTAATGTTAAGTTGAAGCAAATGTTAATTGGTATAAAGTAGTTCCCTAATCAATTAGTGCCGTAATGTTTCACTAAACCTGAATAGGTAGTTTCCAATACATTGTTGGGCTTTTGCTATTATGTGTGGAAAATTTTGATATTGAGTCATTTCATATTGAACGGTCATGAGATCATATCTACCCCATGTTAAATCAAAGATAGGTAATAGTTTAAACTTGATAGTCAATGCATTGCAATGAATTTGTTGCGTGGAACGTAATTGACCATGACATGTTCATTGAGTGCGCCAAAAGATCGAGTAAAAATGTTGAAATGGAATTAATATTTATTGAAAAAATTTGTGACTATTGATTTCTTTTCATCTTCGTTGCTTTATTTTGTGTGTTTCAGGGAGGAGAAAGGAAGCTGTTCGGCGAAGTTAAAGATGAAGATGACGACCAGAGGTGACCAGCTTCATGATGTTAAAAAAATGAAAAAAGTTACCGGTTTCGCTATTGTGATTCTATCTATAACCTTTTTACTATTTATTAGTTATTACCTTAACCTTGAATACCTATGAAATTTTTCATCAACTTGTTGCCACACAAGAGTATTTATACATATATCTATGTATACTACCCATTGGTACAAGAGCTGTGGTTAATAAGGCTCACGCTCCCTCCAATTGCTACTCTATTCAGTCAACTTTGTGCTGACACTTGTCAATTGTCAAGTGTGCTGATGGTGTGTCAGTGCCATACAGTGTGCTGAAACTTTAAAGTTAGCACACTCCCGAATGGTTAGACGATAGAAAATGTTTTCGGTTATAATCAATCTGCGTGGAAATGCAAACTTGACGCAACGCATATGATAGGTTCTAACAAAGTTCTTGAATTTCTTCATAGCCTTTAAGTCAGTTTGCATAGATCGGGTATAATGACCTCATTAAAAACCTGGGGAAAGCTGCGATTTGCCAGAATCGACGGCAGACCGACTTGGCCAGATATTTAAATCCGACTGTACTGAACTATACCACAATTTCTCGAATTGTCAGTTGAGCGCGCAAGCTGCCGCAGGTAGATAAAAAATTAATTTTGGCCATGCCAGAAAAAATTTGTGTCTAATGGTAGGAGACCGCTAAGGTTAATCGTCGAAGCATAGGCAGTAGGCATAATAAATTATAATAGTAATCTGATAACTGTGTTGTAATGATGGAAATAAAATCGAGAAAAGTATCATAACGAGCGTCATAAAGGCTGGCGGTAAGATTGTGAAAGGTTTCGCTGCGTTTGCATCCATGTGCTGCGTCCGACGAATTTTTCGTGTCAAACATGTTTGAATGGTCCCCATCGTTCTAAAAATGCGGTAACTATGAAGAGTATTCAATTTCTATGAAGCGATCAACGTTGAAGAAATTGAGCAACAAACAAATTGTGCAAAATATACACAAATTTTATGATCCCGCTTAGCGAAAATAAAAGCCTATCTTTTGGACTCTCAAATTTATAAATTCACAGCATTGAATGCAAGCAAAGACTTTTTGACGGCTGTCAATTCTTGGTAAGTAGGTAGTTTTCAAATTAGCAACGCTTGTCAAAAATAATTTGCCAGAAGAGACTTTCAAGCAAATTACTCACATATGTATGATATTATACATTAAATTAAATCTAAATAAATGGAAAATTGAGTTTTTCATTATTGAAGAATTTGTCTTTTCATGTTCTGGNCTGTCTCTTATACACATCTAGATGTGTATAAGAGACAGCTCTAAGACTATTTTGTATTGAAAAACCGCTTGCACGACGACTGCTGTGAGCCAGGCAGTGTTATCTAGACTGTCAGCGTGGGAGGTTGTCTGCCGTGCGCGCGGGGGCTGCGAACAGCAAGCCACCACTCCTCTAATTTAAGTTCGGCGTTCCCAAAACTCAAATTACCAAGGTAATTTAAAATTGATATGTAATTGCACCATGGTGATTACTGATTATGTCTCCATAGACCATTTTAAATGCTTAATGCTAATCAACAAATTTGTTCATTATTGATTAAAAATTGGCAACATTGAAGATTTGAAGTTGTTTATGTAAAATTTACTTCCAGGTGAGTTCCCGCACCATAGTGCCCGCCACCCGGCCGCACTGTACTACTGTTGACTCAGTGTTGAGTGTTGTCCCTTATTTTTTGCAAGTCCATATTTCAAACTAACAATGTGTAGATTGCTGACTGCTGTCATGCCGTGTCCTGTGTTGCTTATTAACACTTTGACTGCAACTCGCAAAATAGCCTCACCTGTATGCCAGTGGTGCGACTCATTCAAACTTGAATAACTTTAGTTACAGCGTTACAGACAAGGCAGCGAGATCAGGGCTAGTGAACTGCTCTTGTCTGAGCGAGTTCTACAAGCTTCTGACATGAAAACCGTGAGCCTCTATAATCTATTGGTCATTGGTGCATGTCACCTGACGCCTGGGATGGAAACTATCATCTTTCTAGGCAACATGCGCCATATGAGGTACACGGCATTTATTATTCAACTACAATAAAAAACTTGCATTACACGGGTACTAACGCTTGAAAAAAACATTTTCTATGCAAATGAAATTGGATTGTGACTGCAATAATAATCGAACTACAAATCATTCTGGGGTAAAATGCTGCTAAATGGGAAGTTTATAATTCATTTAGATGATGTCTTACAAAACTGCTCTAAGCAAGGCATGAAGTGGTACCAACAACTGTTCAAATTATTGGCAACAACTGTAGCAAATGCCTGGGTGCTTGGTGATCAGTTCTATAGTCAGTAAAAATTGATGAGAAATTGAGAATTGCTGAAGTTGTTGAAGATTACCAAATGCATTTCCACTAGTAATAGGTCAGACATGTGAACTTGTGAAGAAATGTTTCTATAACCAAATCACAATGATTTTAGATGTTGCCATTCCAGCTCTAAAGTATTTGAAGCTGAGGATCTGAACTTCATGCCATCATTGCCATGGCGAGCTACTGATCTGAGTCTTGCTTTAACATAATTGCAAAATAAGGAAGTTAGTTGGTTCTAAAGTGAGACGGAAAGCTAGAAAAGTAACTATTAATTGCTAGCCCGGTGCTCGGAATCAGTATCACTGTTTATCTTGCTTTTTACAGTGCCATTCTGTTTCTGTGTAAGCTTAGGCAACTTTCAAATGACTAATACGTAATACCTTTTTTTCTACCGCTATAATCCATACCAATACCAAAAAATGATTTTCAACATATTGGAACAGGATAACCCCCTTTATGTAATACTTTTTCTTTCTTGTACCCACTCATTATTTCAGGCTACATTCAAATTACTAAGATTCTTGTGATGCGATTGCATGATGTTCATATAGGTTATTGAAAACATTATTGTCAATTATCTATCATATTTTTTACAAATTTATGATCCGGCTGATATTTTAAAGAGCTTTTTTAAAAAACTAAAATTTTTAAGCATGCGTTATATATGGCGCACGCCAGGATGGAATTCTAATTTCGGAGGTTCATATATTATTTCGATTCACCAAGACCACTTCTTCTATCCAACATTGTTATTTGAGGCAAAAAATGAACTTCTTAAAGGCTTAAAACACGCACGCTAACTTGCTCAGTTTCTATAAAGTACCTAATCACTTGGAAGTTGTAAACCTGCATCTATCACTCAACAATTTTTTTTTAAAATTATGGTCTTAGGGTTGTGATGCATGAAATTAATAAGCCCTACTTTCTTCAATGGCAGATCCCATTGGCATCTTATCCATGCTCCTTTAGTATTTGCATATTTTCCATTCTCCTCACAGTTAGGGGCATCTACTTGCTGATGCACCATACTTGTGTCTATTTCCTAACCAATAGCCTTTTCATCAAACTGTAACCTAAATTCTGTTTTATTTGTCAGTAATGAAAGAAAAACTTTATTCACATCATTATCCAATATCCATTGTGCAAGTAGGTTTCTGCAAAGCTATCAAGTAAAAGTAGGCAATGTGTTTGCCTGACCCGTGGGAGATATGCAGCAACAGCTTTTGGCAAACCCTGTTGGTGTGGTTAACAAATTTTTTGTGCCTGTCTTCAGTTTGCAACATGGGCATTCTGCTGCACTCAAAATCACATTGCCAAAATCACTACTGCCTATTTTGGTGCTCTGTGACAAATACATACCATCAGCCGATGTCTTTCAAGACCCTTGTGGTGGTGCTCATTCTGACCAGATTGGATTATGGTAATGCCACTCTATGGACTTCCAACCACGTCACTTGCTAAACTGCAATCTGTAATGAATGCTGCTGCAAACTTGTATGCAATAAGCGATAATTTGACCGTGTGATGCCAGTATTGCACAATCTTCATTGGCTGCGCATGCAGCAGCTCACTCAGTTCAAGGTTGCTGTTCTGATGTTCCAATGCCTTCGCATTTTGGCACCTCTTTACCTCACGGAATATCATCAGCACATGTTGGATCTGCCTGGTAGAAAAGTGAAAACGACTGCGTTTGTCATCGATGGCTGACCTTGTTGTTCCATAAACAGGTCCATCTATCATTGGCAACTGAGTGTTCCTGATTTCTGCTGTCAGAATCTAGAACAGTTTACCCACTTCTGTATCATTGGCTCCTTCATTGCAGGTGTTTTTTTGATGCCTAAAGATGGAACTATTTCATAGAGCCTATGAATCAAGTGCTTAGTCATTTTTGTCCATTCTCATACTTCCTTGTATCTATTTGTATTTTGCTTGTTATTAAACTTATCTGTAATGTACCATACCCTCAAAGTTTGTTTGAACCAGAGGCCACAATAACTGCTTCATAGGATAATAATAATTGTATGGGGAGTATGGTATTTCTGGTTTTCAGATTCTGCTTGTATGTAGAAGTGCAGAATGAATTCATTCTATAAATTTTTAGTGTGTAGAATGCCTTAAGTCCTTGTTCATCAATCCAGTTGCAAGCTAATATTTTCTGCATGTTCCAGATGCAGAAAATGGTGAGCCACTCTCATTATGGTCCCGGGAACGCTCCCTCACTACTCCATCTTAAACGACAGATACTACTAGAAATACTGCAGTCTGATGGCACCATTTTAGAAGGAAAGTATGAAGAATCAATCCCAAAAACAACCAAGAAAGAACATGACCAACCACGACCACTGTCTAAAGTAAGTATTTATTTTAGACTTTGTCTAAATTTTATTGCATTCAGCCTCTCTCTTGTATAGAATTTTTGGTCCACTGAATGGTATATATTATTTCTGTTCGTGCTGGTTGATGTTGCAAATCCCTCCTTAGAGCATATTAGGTTGATTTGAAATTGTAAAATCCTAAGATGTCGTTAGCATAATTTGTAATCTGCTTCAGCTTGTATGTCATGGAAAGTTGTAATTATGTACTTCTATTTCCTACTTTGGAAACCTTTCTTGTCCATATTTTGTTTCTTATTTCGATTGCAGAAGCGGAAAACTGACAAATTGTACAACACTGCTCTTGAAAACACCAATGTGGTAAAGGAGAAGAAGCTGAGATCTTTAGCCACTAAGTAAGTGAAATTCGACATAGAAATGTATTACTCCATCTGTAATGATATTCTATTGAGCTGTGAAAAAAATATATTGAAAGGGCAGAAATGGTTATAATTTGTGCCTATCTGCTGCTTCACTGAATTTTTGTTTTTAATGGCCAAAAGAAATTTGTATTACAAGATCATTTACTTGCATGTATTGTGCGGCCAGCAGTTGAACACAATCACAGCTTCTTTTAATCTAGAATAGTTTACAGATTCTATTGTTAGAGATTTTAGAATATGATGTAATATTATATTTATTATCTATAAAATATTTAATTTTCATGAGTTATTCATCAGTAGTAGGCTTTTACAAAAGTTCATGACAATCCTGACCTATGCTGATTTCAATAATGCTAACATTTTAGCGTGAGTTTTGCTGTCAAACGCAAATCTACTTGTACATAATTTTATTCCTGGTTCCGAGTTGGTTAAGTGTTACAAGTAGACAAATGTTTAACTAGTGGGTTAGTGGGTAATTGGGCACTACAGTAAATTTGATTGTTTTATTTCATGATATTTTATTCTTGCAAGTCATCGAAAATAATTTCTTGCCCTAAAAAGGAGTTTTCACTATTAATTTCATTTCAGGGGCGTGGTTCAAGTGCTCAACACTTTAGAGCAATGCCAACAAGAGAAGAAGAGAGCCTCTAACACGTATGATAAGAAGCCCACTTCCCAGGTTTCCGAAATGTCTGCTATTACCTCTGGCAACTCGGGTCTCATGAATTTTTTATTGAAGAAAACCATGGTATCTATCTTTTGTGTTATTTGAGTGGTCTGCCTCAGCTCAATATTTATTAACGGGACTAGATAAAATCATTCCATTCTTGAAAATCTGCAATTTGTGTTTCAAAAAAATTCAACTGTTTCAAAATTTTAGCTAGAAAAATTTTTGCTGGAACAGATTGCTTTTGATGTTGGATATTACTGCCAAACTCAGTCAATTGGGAGATAAACTCAATTTCTTGGATAATTATATGGAGGGCAGGAGTCATGATAGTCCATTACATCCAGGGCAGTGGTGGTCTTCGGCAGGCTTCCCGTAAGATTGTGAAAGGTTTCGCTGTGTTTGCATCCCAGTGCTGCGTCAGACGAATTTTTCGTGTAAAACTAGCTTGAATGGTCCCCATCGTTCTAAAAATGCGGTAACTATGAAGAGTATTCAATTTCTATGAAGCGATCAACGTCGAAGAAACTGAGCAACAAACAAATTGTGCAAAATATACACAAATTTTATGATCCCGCTTAGCGAAAATAAAAGCCTATCTTTTGGACTCTCAAATTTATAAATTCACAGCATTGCAAGCAAAGATTTTTTGACGGTTGTCAATTCTTGGTAAGTAGGGAGTTTTCAAATTAGCAACGCTTGTCAAAAATAATTTGCCAGAAGAGACTTTTAAGCAAATTACTCACACATGTATGATATTATACATTAAATTAAATCTAAATAAATGGAAAATTGAGTTTTTCATTATTGAAGAATTTGTCTTTTCATGTTCTGGTGTTTGTTGTTGCATGACGTCGAAATTCAGGGGGCGAGGGGAGCAGGGCGTTCTATTATTGATGTTTTTGAGTGTCTAAGCGGCAGCTGAGCCGCAATTACGTTGTCGTGAGCGAGCTGTTGGCCTATTAATATATTAAATTGATAGCTAATGGTGCAGTAAAATGGATTTTTACGTCATAAAATATTTTTTCTTTAAGAGAAGTGTTATTTAGGTATATATTTCTGGCTTGAAATACTTTTTGATAAAAGTGCCGCCATGACTGGTGTTGAAGCAGCTGATGATCGGCTCGAAAGAAGAAGTTATCCCGAATCTTGCAGTCCACTCAGCTGTTCAGATCGATCTTCTCCCGATCCTTCTTCCACTTTACAACCTCTCTTAACGTCAAGTAACAGCAATACATCATCTTCCCCTCCTCCATATTTGCTGGAGCCCCTCACCCCAACAACACACACGTCTTTCACCCCACTCACCGATCCTGCCAACTCTACCTGTGCTGAAAACGATCCTCCTTCCCTTCTCAATGACGAACAGCCACAAATGTCTGAAAGCAATTGGAGTATGCATCTTGATGTGCTTAGGTAAGCTGTAAGAATTGCAATAATTGGTTGACATAGCCTATTTAAAAACATTTAAAACAAGAGGTTCATTGGTGTGATCACTGTGATGGTGTCTGGTGAAGTTTGAAAATTGCATGCAAAATTGGGTTGGGTGTTTGAGTGACTTATGAGACTAGTTCAGTAGTTGCTATTCATTTTTATTTACCTAATTTACTTAAAAAAGATTTCATTAAATATGAAAATAAATTTGTGTATTGTATGATACATTGATAAGGCTAGTTTTCCAACATTCCAGTCAATCCAGTGCACAATTGAAAAAATGAGCTGAAGCCTCCCATGGGCCCTGAATGAGACAAAAATGCCTTGGCATCAAATTGCATGTGTGTCATTCTCATTGTGGTTGACAATGAAGAAAATGAAATATTTTTGTCTGGCGCCTGCAATACTCATAAATAATTGATGGGAAAGTTGTTTTTGTCCACAATTTTTCAAAAATTCTGGCAAATTACTTGATTCTTTAGTTATTCTTTCATTTGTTGTATGTAAAAAGATGGGCATCAAATTTTAATGTCACTTCAGTTGCCATATATAGCACTCATGTTGCCAGCTATTAATAAAAACCATCTATTTCAAATTACAGTTTAGTAGTTTAATAAATAATTAAATATTATAATTTAATTTTTATTTAACAAATAAAACTGCTACTTTTTGTTAGATTAAAACAGCTTCTTTTTCTGACCAAACCCTGCAATTTTAGCTTAGACCTAATCTAATTTTGGTCTAAAAATGATCAATTCACCTGCCAATTTTGAAAATTTTGTTCAAAAAATATGCTGTTTTTCCTTATTTTTACAGAAGAAAGAAAGCAAAAGCCATAGGAATGGGTGAAATTGTCCATGCATAGCCATATGGGCATTAATTTGTCATTTGTCTTGCTTTTGTCTAAAGCCACTGTTGGCTTTTATCCTATTATCCAGTTTGTTTTTGACCATTATTATACCTATTTTTTTTACTGCAGAAAGGCTAATTAAGTGAAGTATCTGCCTAAATAGCAACTCCTGTGTCATTAATGGTAGAAAGTATCTTGATTCTACTATGCATAATTATCAGTCTCTTTTAGGAATATTGTGTGATATTAGCCATCAGCCTTATTGTTTTTGTGCTGACACTTGTAACGTTTGCTGACAACTATAAAGTGTGCTGACACCTGTAAAGCTATTTTGATAAAAAGCCTTCTATAGAGAAGTGGACAGTAATACACTTCTCTGTAGAATAATAATAATAATAATTGGCAAGGCAAATATTGATTGTAAATTTTTGTTTGCAGTAAACTGAAGACTGAAAGTGAGGATTGGTATGACAATGAGGAGCTTTCAGCAGAAGCCTTGTTGAGCAGCAGCAGGAACATCAGGAGTGAATATGCTAATTTTACAAGTTGCAACCCCAACTATTGTGACTCCCCACCACTGCCCTTAGATAATGATTCTCTCCAACCAGCCCATGAAGTTCACCAAATAAACTTTGCTCCACACCCAATCTATTCTCCTTACTTTCTCTCAGACTATCCCAGCATCCCACTTCAACTCCCTCTTCCTCACCCCACATACTCCCCACCTCCACATTTACCTCCCCAAAGTCCACATGCTCCTGCTTACTCTCTCCCACATACTCCTCCAACAACACCCCACTCTTCCCTGGCTCCCCCAACCCCTCCTCATCCTCCTCCAAACTCGCTCTCACCCATCATACTACCAAAGAGAAGAGGCAGGAAACCAAAACACGTCAAGATTGAAGAAGACAAGTGAGTAGAGCTGCTTCATTATATAGGCTGGTGTTATATCCTTTACTCTTATTGCTCTGTGTAACATCAAGGTTGGTGCAGCTATAAAAGTACTACTCACTTCTGTTACTATTGACATTCACAAAAGGCATTAATCATAATCCAAATTGTGAAATATTCCTTGGCAATGAGAGCAGCTTAGGTAGGTATTGATACTCAAGATGATTGATTTATGTAGTATTGTTGTAGAAATAGTTACTAGTTTGTCAGTTACATAGTAATAGTTTTGCTATCTCTGGATGGCAGAGAATCCTCTATCAAGACAGTTCTGCTTCGAGATCTTGTTTCCTACTTAATTTTAATTCATATTTTTTTAGTTTATTCTCAATACAATGATTTAATTTTCTTACATTGATTCATTTTTCATGTGCTGCCTGTTTAACACGTTCAGTGCGGCAACAACCTACAGCGCTGGCAGCTGACCTAAAAACGGCCAAGTCCGCTGCTAAAAAGGCCTATAATTCAAAATACCCGTAGGTAGTAGGTTTGCACCTAAACCTACAACTTTGTAGGTTTAGGTGCAAAAATTAAATTTTCATTTTTTTGTACATTTTATATTTTACTGAGGCAGTACTGCCATTATAAATTTTTGTCCACAAACATAATTGAAAAAAAAAAAACTAAATCGCGGAATTTATCTGGAAAAAATACCCTGCCACCCACCTGTGGGTCGTCCCACACTTAACGTGTTAAATTGATTAAAATTCAATGGTTTCCTTTGTTATAGGTTATCCTTATTGGATTTGCTCAAAGTTGAATAAACCTGGAGTTATTAACATTCACTAAGTTCAATTAGGTTAATTTAAATCTAGTGTTACATTCCCTCATATGATTGCTCATTTACAAGCTTGCATATTACAGTGGCAACTTAGAAGCAGTTGCTGCCGCTTGGGCTGAACATGATGCTAAGAAGCGCCGCAAGACTGGCGCCTCTATTGCCCCTGCTGTGCTCTCCCCTCCAACACCCACACCTGAACCTCCTGTCAAGCCTCGCAAGAAAATGGACAGATTTGGTGGCCTGGAAGAGGAGGAGGTTGCTAAGAAGACCTTGCCTGATCATCTCAAGCATGGGTTGGACATAGTAATTGTGAGTCTCAAGGCAGTCTTTGATCATCTCATGTATGCTTGAGCTTCACCTGTGTCTTGCAATTCAATCATCGTTGTTTGTTTGTTGTATTGTTTGATTTGGAGATTTATTGAATGGTCATGTTGAAAGAGCTGTGGGCTTCTGAAGGAATCATTCTTCTGAATGGAACAAACTCCTGAGTCATCTACAATAATTTTTTACATTGACTTTGAATGCCTAATGTAAATAAAAAAAAAGAGAAATTTTGTCGATTCACTTTTCATTTAGAAGTTTTCATGTATTTATTATCATTAATAATGTTTTAGATGTCAATTAAAATATGATTGAATATAGCCTTTTCATGACAAGTTGTCTCCCAGTATGAGTTCTTACGTATGACTGGGCTTATTAAAGCAAAACTTATTTGAATATGACATTTTAACTAGGTTTATGCCAGCATTTCAAGAGCCATTCTTCTCCTCCCAGATTGGAATCAACCCTGGCCTGTTTGCTGCGTTCAAGGGCCACCACTACGCCGGTCCTGGCAATCATTTCTGTGAGTCACAAGACAATGAACGTTTGCCGGTCTTCAAACAGTTAACTAGTGTTGATAACATTGAAGTGGGCTCCATTTCTTAGAAAAAGGTCCCAACTATTTAGGTTTGGACTGCATTATAATTTTTTGTTAGCTACTTGCAGATGTAGATTTCTACTTTTTAGTTCAAGTTTAGTAGTATGTCATTGTTGTTTTTCTGCTTCATGTTGCACACATTGATTGTGTTGCACAACTCTTGTGTTGCACACCAAGAACAGCTCCACCAGCCATGTAGCCATGCTGCTCCATGGCGCCAGTGACGTCACTGACATTTCACTGTCCGCTCCTCTAAACATTTGCATGCTTTATTCAATTATAAAAAACAAACCATCGATGTTCCAGCTTCCTCCTATGCTTGCTTCAGGTAGAGACTCCCTTCCCTCTACAATGTGCGCTAAAGTGTCACCATAAACAGTGTGCAAAACACTGCCCCCTCCCCTCAATTATGATGTTTATGTGCAGGGAAGTGCCTGTACCTGTATACGTGGCACCATAAACAATGTACACAACATTGCCCCTCCCCTCAATAATGATGTTTGCGTGCAGGGAAGTGCCTGTACCTGTCAGGGCTGATCCCTGAGCCGCTGGGTGCAGAGGACGATGGCTCGCTGCTCAAGTACAACATCGGCTTCACCAACATCGTGGCGCGCACTACGCGAGGCTCGGCCGAGCTTACCAGACTCGAGATCAAACAAGGTGCCCACAGAATACTCCTTCCTGTACAATATATTTTATATATCTACACCTTTCACTATATAGTCCAGCTTGTATATTCTTGGATAATTTCTCAACACGATTATTTACTCTTGAAGTTCAGCTTTATAATTCTAAGCTATAATTCAATTATCCAGCCCTGTACTGACCTGAAATTCTGTTCATAAGGAGGCGAAATGCTGGTGTCAAAGCTGCGCTTCTACCGCCCCCGCATCGCCGTCTTCAACGGCAAGGGCATCTACGAAATATTCTCTGGCAAGAAGGACTTCCAGTTTGGCAAACAGCCAGAAATGTTCCCACACACCGACACTGTAAGTCTTGTGAACATTCAACATCAATGTTGTGAGTGGCAGCCAGAAATATTCCCACACACCTACACTGTAAGTAAGTCGTGTGAACATCCAACATCACTGTTGTGAGTAGCAGCCAGAATTGTTCCCACACACCGACACTGTAAGTTGTGTGAACATCCAACATCACTGTTGTGATTATGATAGGTGGCACCAAGAAATGAATGAATGTATGGCGATGCAGTGCCTTTCATTGGGTGTGGGTGATGGCGTCTCGCTCAAGCTAAGCTCATTTAGTGTGATCAAGTTAGGTGCTGGCGCTAGGTAATGAATTGTTCCTTGTTCCTGGTATTTCAGTACGTGTGGGTGATGCCGTCGTCGTCTGCGCGGTGCGCACAGCTCCCTCGCGCGCTCGACAAGGTGCCGTTCTACTCGGCGCTGCGCAAGTTCCGCGACTACCTCAACGGCAGCGTCGACCACATCACCGAGGAGGAGATGACCTTCGCGCACGTCAAGCTAAAGAACTTCAAGAAGGAGGACAAAGTCGTTATTGAGGAAGATGATGAGGATGATGATGATACTGCTGACGGTGACCTGAGAGTGTCACAAGAGTCGAGTGATGCGTCCCAGCACTCTAGCTACTTCAGCAGCCCTAATGAGCATTACTGAACACAGCGCCTCTTGCTGGAGTGTCGGTGTGGAGGTCAGCCCGATGCACCGCCTCTTGTTGGGGTGTCGGTGTGGAGGGTGGCCTGTGCAGCTATCATCAATGCGTTATTTTGTCTACTGTGAATGATAGCGTTTGTAGTTTAATTGAATCGTGGTCCTTATGATGCACGCTTGCAGACTGACACGAAAGTGCGTTTGTTGCGCGTAAAGTGATTGCATGATCAGCAATCCTTGCACTGCAAGAACACATTTGTTTGTTCACTCCTAAAGGCCGGCAGTGTTCCCAATGACCTCATCCTCTTGTGGACCCACGTTTCCGACATTAGAGTATATTTTTGTGCAACGAACAAGGAAGTGGAAGTGAACATTCTATCTGATTTATTATTTGTTCGCTTGCCCCTACCTTTGGGTTGACCTGTCCCTCCTGCTAGAGTTGTTAAATACTTTCCTGCAGGGGTTCAGGATAAGGCGATCGAACCCTGTTGGGGTTATACTGTGTGGCTGTCGTCAACCATGAGGCCAGTAGCCTTTGCTTTAGGTAGCGCCAAAGACTTGAATTAATTATTGGTTGTGTACATCTCTTCTCAAACTTTTTAAATTTAGAAGAGAAAAATAACTTATTTTACTTGAATATAATGAAGTTTGAATTCAAACATATTTCTTGTTTGCGATGTGAAAACGCCTCTATTTCCTCGAAAAAGGGCTAACATACTTTCAAAGTTAGTTAGGGATTTACTTTTGAGATATCGAGGCAATATAATTTATAATGATTCTTGTTTGTATTTGCCAGTATTGATTAAGTAGGATCTACCTCGAGAGATGGCTACTGAGAGTCATTCTGACATTCAGTGAGCTTCCCATGTTCCGAATTCAAATTTCTTTAACCCTTTCTGCTATTTAAATTTGTTAGGTTGTTTTCCCCTGGCGCTTCCTCGTGTAGAACAATGTTATGTCTTCCACTTGTTCCTGCTATTTATCTCAGTATTGTTAGGTTGTTTTCCCCTGGCGCTTCCTCGTGTAGAACAATGTTATGTCTTCCACTTGTTCCTGCTATTTATCTCAGTATTGTTAGATTGTTTTCCCCTGATTTATCTCGTGTAGAACAAAGTTGTTATATCTTTCACTTGTTCTTGCTGTTTGGCGATCACTGAAATTCAGGAGAGGGAACCTGATTTTTACTTTACCGGTGTTTTATTTATTTAAATTAATGCGTTTTTGCTCGGTAATATTTATAACAGAGTCTGTGCAATTTGTTCGTAAGAATTATTTCTAACATTATTTATTATTTGGCTAATTTGCTTACTGACTCTCATAAGTGCAATATATTTAACAAGCTCGTTGATAGCAGGCAGCTTTCCTCTTATTCGTCTGTAGTTCCTTGTTTTTCGTTCTCTTTATTCTTTAGTGATCAATTGAGATTAATTTTCGGTGTTGATAATTTAGGCTTGGAAAAATTAATGCAGTCTTTCATTAACTGGAATATTCGTTTGGTTTGCGGTGCTTCCTTTGCACGCTGACTTATGTTAGCAGCTGATACTGATGTGCAAGCTTAGCGGCCGTTTTTTATTTTTAGCGGCCTTTAATCCAGATAAGGTGAGATCATGGCATTTGAAATTACTCGGGACCTTCTAAACACATGTGCATTATCCGTTTATAAATATGTCCCCCAACCGTACAGGTCCTCATTACCAGGTTCTTCGATCAGGGATATGTCTTAATCACGAGTAGAATATTTTCATCACATATGAGAGATTGAATCGGTTGCTGCCTGAAGGATTTGGTTAGATCCTTCTCGGCGAGGTCTGTTTGATCCTAGCTAGCTTCCACAGCTTCAAGATAATCAAAACTCAGATTATCTTCAATATTTATCCGGTGATGAGAACTATCATCCATGACTCGGACAATTTTCGTATCGTGTAATGTTGCAAGATTTTAACGCCCAACACAAATAAAAGTAGCTGCTGTGAGCGGAAAAAGTGCTCAAACCTTGAAGGCACTTGAAGATCATATGAAGAAAATCCTTGTGACTCAACTAACTTAATAACTAATAAGATTGTTCCGGGCGACACATATCTCGATATAAAAACCAGGAGGATGACCCCTTAAAGTCCTGGACATCCACATATTTATTGAGAGCTTTACGATCGTTTGCGTCATTAATTTATCAGTAAGATATATTTAAGAGTAAGAAATAGAGGTTAAGCCTATGGTTTCTGTTTTTTTTTTGTGAAGTATCTGAGCACAACTGTGGTTCGAAGTCATTCGATTCTGCAGGGTTCATTGGGTTCGTTTCTCTCAGAATATTTTGTGCAGTGCAGCCTCTGGTGACCATTTGAATCACAATCGTGATTCACGATTGTTACAACATGTAATCATGTGTCGGAATTAATTGGAAAATGCAGCGTCGTTCTGATGCTTATGGTATGGGTGACTGAACGCGCTATTTAGGAGGACACCAGCTGGGGCTCCAGTCTGTGTACGAGATTTAAGAATGTGTTTGCATAGAAAATGGATTGGTTAGTTTTGTAGGAATGAAGCATCATATTTATAAACAAAATTGTCTGATTATTGATGATGTTTAGTAAGATAGACGTTATTATTCCAAAAACTTGTTCTGCATAGTATGTTTATACTTAAATTATGAAACGTTACTGCCTGTTTTGCCAAGCTGTGAGGCTAAATCCAAAGTGCTGAACGCTTGACCGCTATTTTGGTTCACTGTGTTTGTAAGCATCGGCCACAACGCGCACTAATTGACTCATTTTAATTCATCCTAGAGCACTCCGTGATATTTTAATCATTCTCAGTAATTATAGTCTTCCGGAAGTGTTCAGGACAAACTAACCTTTTCCGTTCATTGGACTCTCAGCATATGCACATTATGTCGGTGATGGTCGTGGAAGTTACAGTGGCCTTAGTGCCCTTTAAATCTCACTTATCATCTCCCTCCTGGTTGCCACCACTAGTGAGGAGCAATTACAATAACTAAACTTGGTGTTATAATAACAACTGTATAATAATAGTAAAAAATTGAGATTTTCGCTGCTTTAACGAAGCTCTCTGATGAGTCAGTGCAAAGATCGTGGTGGTTGTTCATGCGTTCATCAATCAAATTTTGTGGGCGGTTTAATTGATGTGTAGCTAGTATTTGCTGCCCACTGGTGAGCAACGTGAATATTGAAGAGTATTTCTAAGCTATGTTTGATGCAAGATCATTTCGGCAGATAACTTGCGTGCGTAAAGCTAAGCGGCGGCGACTTATTATCACGTATTTGTTACTTAGGAGATGTTAAGTCGTGCCAAATGTGTTAGCCTAAGCAATGTGTAGTACAGTAGCGGTGTAGCTGACGAGGAGCTTAGTTATCAGACACCTGACTTTGAAATAGCGTTTATTGAACGTTGTTTCAACGTCATTTGTCTAGTGGGATATATAGTCACCTATATACTAAATACTCAGGGGTCTGTACGTATAAAGCTCTACACGAAACACATCCTCTTTGCTCTCTGACGCCAGTGCTTTACCTTCCTGCATTTGGCGAGATGCTCTCGCTTTGTTCTTATTGATGATGTTAGCCGCCTTGTGCGTTCTCTTGCATAAAATGATTCTGGTTTTCCCCTACACAATTTGATAGTTCCGAGTTATCCAAACAGATACCACAACGTCTACTGTTTGCAACACATCAAAGAAACACCGTTAATTTCCATGTTTGTGAGGCATATGGACAAGAAGTATTGTAGAGCAAGTCGTTTTCTTAACTTCAGTGTACTCACCTTACCAATTGATTGGAAATTAGCTCATTATTAAATCGATAATGCGAACTACTGGTTGATTTTTACGCTGCAGTATCTGGAACTAGAATTATCTTCTCTTTTCGGGACTTGTCATCTCTGCGCCAAAGCGTAGGACGCGATCACAGTTATTATGCAATTTATATATATTATATTTGAAAGCGTAGCACATGGCCTAGAGAGGCGCGGGGTAGGAAATTTCAATGGTGTAATGGAGGACAGGAGGGATCATATCTTGTTGGTTGGGAATACTGACTGAGAGTGTTTTTTATTTAGTTAAAAGGCGTACTTTGAGAACCAACAAATTGGTAACCGTCATAGCCCTTGATGATCTATCCCAGCTATTGATCATTTATCACAGCGCCTGATGATCTATCGCTATGATCTCGCAAGAAGTTCATAACGACAGCTCGCATGCTTGCATTATGCTACGAACAGAACGCGTCTGTAGGGCGGACATTTGTAAACGAGGTGCAATAAACGGTTCAAAAGTCCTTGTTGATTATCTTTCAGTCCTTAATGACGCTATATTCTTAGCGTGAAAATGATCATAAGTCCTGTTCCAGTCATTACTAACGTAGTATTCAAGCTTTGAAATAATCAGAAGTCCAAGTTGATTTCCACTGATCTTCAACGACGTGATAATGAAGGGTTGCTGAGGCTTCCAACATCACTGCCGCGTACACGACAGTTCCACTACTGGCGCCATCCAAAATTATGCAGCTTCTGTTTGCTACTCTCTTGCACAGCTATCGTAGCCAACAGTCCGTCCAGAACGCAGTCTTAGGCCTACTCATACCGGACATTACCAGAGGTTTCCATCAACTTCTCAAGATGGCTTCTTTCCTTGGCATGGAGATTTCCTCCCCCAACCAACCCTGAGTCTGCCGAAACTAACAGGGTCCCCTCCTGCTCGCTCCCCCAACCCCCGAGTCTGCCGAAACTAACAGGGTTCCCTCCTGCTCGCTCCCCAACCCCGAGTCTGCCGAAACTAACAGGGTCCCCTCCTGCTCGCTCCCCCAATCCCGAGTCTGCCCAAACTAACAGGGTCCCCTCCTGCTCGCTCCCCCAATCCCGCTCCCCCTGCTCGCTCCAAACTACCACCTTCTTCTTCATCACTGCTACTCGTCACTCGTCACATCAGTCATTGTTGCCAACGTCCACGCCCGCCCTCTGACGGCCAAGAGTTCAAGTCCAACTTTCTTTGCTGATTTCTCGCTTTCAAAACTGGTGTAAGGTTGAGTACACGGAATTAAAGATGTCGTTGGTAAATTTTCGTGTATGAAATTCAACAACTTTACCTTAAATTTGGTGAAATTTAAATATTTAAGGCCGTGCACAATATCAAAAGATATATCAAACATTTTAACTTTAGCAACCATTATCATATACCGGCTCCCATGCCATCACCATTTACGACACTGTCGCTTATAACTATTATTATTACTTTACTAAGCATTTATCGCGGCGTCTGGCTTATCGCGGCGCGGTAAATTAATAGCAAGCGAAAAATAAATAGACACAAGAAAGGATAGGAACTATCAATACAACTTGAATTTGTTCAGTGAAAAGGAGAACCAAGATTAAGAACATAATCCTACCGTAAGTACCAACGCCCAAGCAACAAAACATCCTCAATAACTCTATAGTTGTAGGAAGGTCAGCGACCAATTCCACAGGCAACTGAGCTCTGTTCCGGGTCTCTGATCACCGAGATAGTTGAGTCTGGCTAAAGAATAGCTTTCTTAGTTTGTTGAAAACAGCATAGCCATTTGGGAGTGGCATGAAGCAGTCGCTCCTGAGGTAGCACGACTAGCGCCCCTGCCAGGCTAACTGCACACAATGCCAGTTGCTTCCTGACTGCCTAGCAGACAGGTCGATGCAGCTGTCGTTAGCTAAGATTTGCTGCAGCAGCAGACACTCGCCTTTCCGCTTATCAGCAATCTATGTTGTCGTACTATGAATATGGTGTACTACGATATAAGAAACGCAAGAATTTCATTCTCAGATTTATGAATGACGTATTAGGTCATCGATTGCACATTGTTAGAAATATTATGATCTAGGTATATTAAGTATACACCTGTATAGAGCAAATGAGCTGAGTATTCATGAACCTAACTTTAAGCTCATACAGTTCTAATGGGTTTGGGAAAGATGTTTCCCAATATACTTCATTCACCATCGTTCATAGTTCTCCATGACTTTGTGGCAAACTACGGGGTGTCCACACCAGTTCATCCTGCCGTATGACGCACGTTGGCGCCAAGCAAGTCTTGTTCTTTTGCCTTCCCACTTTAAACTAATCAACTTGACGCGATCAAAACACTAAGTTTATTTGATGATGAAAATATCAATTTAAATTAAATAAATTATCACTTAGTTTAAATGAGATAGAGATATATTTAAAAATATTTTAAAGCCGAGTAAACTAAAGCCATACGTATCATTTTCCATGCTAGTTCTCCAACATTTCCTCACACTCTCCAGAAAATATTCACACTCGACAATGCAATACTCCTCCGCTGTATGCTGCAAATGCAATCGACCTTACGAGTGTCTTAGGATGCAATATTCGCTTAATGCCAGTGTATCCAAAACTGGAGGTAAATTCCCGCTGTGCTGGAGGGATGACACTATTCTTTTAGCCATTAATATCATTGATTCTTAGTAGCATACCGATATAAGGCAATAAAGTTATAATAAAGCAACTTTCTCAACACATCACGGCCACACATACATCAATCGTTCACTCAGTTTTAGTCTTGTGTTCTCCCTTAGCTTTTATCTGCTGGAGGTTCCAGGTGACAACGACTACCTCATTGCCGCTGTGGGAGATGTACAGCACAGGCGGCAAGGGACGTTCATAGTTCATGGAAGAACTGGTCATGCACGGCGTCGGAGTGTCTAGTACGCCTCTAATGACGCGCCGGTAAGTTAGGATATCTGAGACGAACTCAGGATCATGAGCAAAATTGCTGTCTCCCATGGACTTACAGACACGATCCACCCAGCCGCGAACGTTGTCTGGACATGGCGAGGAGCTTGTAGGAGTCGCGGAGTTGACAGGTGGTGTGGTGTTTACAGGTGGTTCGTTGTTGGTAGATGGTACAGTGCAGTTATATGGTGAGGCAATACCAGATGCTGAAGCAGCAGCAGTTGAGTAGGCCTTAATAGGTAGCACAGCGTCCACAGGAAGCTCATCCAGCCACGCGGTGTCGTATGACCTACAACTGCTTCTGTGGGAACTTGAAGAGCAAGGTTAGTGGAGCTCTAGGATATCAAGAACCTTTTTTTGCAGATTATAAAGAAATTATCAAGATTGCTGCCGATCAATGTACTTCTGGTTAATTCCAACAATCAGTTAACACGTTCTATAATAAAGTATGAGGCATAGAAATGTGATTGTAGTCCGTCATTGAGATGCGAAGATAAAAGAATTTGAAAAATACAAATAGTCATTGATGTTCATGCAACGAGCTTTTGAAGGCCACCTGTATGAAGGTTGAGCTCACGAAGAACCTACTCATCTTTGTTTGTTGAATATATAACAATCAACTCACGATGGATTTCTCCAGGGTAGCCTGAAGAAACTGAGCTGCTGTTCAGCAGTGAGGTCAAAGAGCACCAAAGCTTCCTCTTTAAATGAGGGCCTGCATTTGACGTCCAGTTCGCTCCAAGACGTTGTGGTGAACAGAGCAAACCTGCGCCCTGCTGCCTCCAGGCGAAGCAGCTTCAGAATGGTGGGAACACAGTGTAAGCGTTGCAGCGTATGAGCATCGTAGACCACAATGCTATTGGTCTTCTCATTAGAACTACGTGAAATACAACCTATTGTGTAGTTTGAATCGTGGATCACTTGAGCTGATATCGAGTCGTCATCATACACTACACTACAATCAATGTTCAAATAATTTCCAAACTTGTCTTTGGAATTGAGTGTTTGTTGTGTGTTTACAACTGCTGAATTTAGTCTTTGAAGATTATCTGCCACTGCAGTAGAATTTGGGCTTTCAGAAGTCCACTTGTACTGACGGCATGCAGTATTTTCCACAGCAATAACATTGAACCAGCCTTCACGCTTGGGCAGCATCCGAATCTGACAAGTGCGGGCATGTGTTGACAGTGCCATAAGCATAACACCGGTAGAGAGATGCCACATCCTGATACAGAGGTCGTCCCCTGCGCTCACCATGAGGTCCAGCTCCGCTGAGGCATCACAACACAACACTGGACCAGCGTGCGTGAAAAAATCAATGTAAGCAAAGGTATGAAATCCTTTGAATTGCAGTGCAGCAGTGAGGCGTCCATCAACTTTGCCATAAATTATTGCACCGTTAGGGCAGAGCTCTGCAGCTTTACTTGTATCAATGAAGCGAGTGCACATGATTTCTGAGCCCGTTGTGTGGCGGAGAAGTACTTCTCTGCAACATCTGTCAAGCACAACCCAATGCTTGTCACGATCTGTGAGGTGGAAAGAATAATTTGGGAACAGTAAAAATAATGAAAATAATGGGGTAGGTATATGGTAACTTATTAATTGAAAATTCAATAGAGATAAATATGAGATAAAGAATTTAACTTTGGAACAGATTCACAACCCATGCCCACAATCTCACAGGTAAACTAATACCTATGTTGAACAATATAAACTACCAAAATAATATGATTGATTGATATGATTGATCCACAAATAGAACTTAAATAAAGAGTTACTGCCAATATATCAGTGAAATTTCTGTAAAATGTTCTGGAGAGAGAATACATGCATGGAGTTACATTGATTAAGCACTAATTTCCGTTTTAAATTAAACTAAAAAATGTAGATATGTCTGAACAAAAGTAGTACTGCCAATTGCCAAAACCAGTTTAGCTGAAATTGAAATAACGTTTGATTTATCAGCAAGCTACCTTAAGTTTATGAAGTTCTAATACAAATAAATCACTCTTACAGGCACATATGAGTCTTCCTGAGGCAGTAAGGTCCAGGGGTCCTGTACTGCCCAGTCTTGTAACTTGGAGAACAGGAATGCATTTTTTAAGGAAAAATGAATCTGGCTTGCACAGAGCACTTCTAACATAAAAGGCAGCTATAGTAACTTGTAGCCAGGATAGATGGGGCTTTGAGTTTTCAGGACAGCCAAGTGAGTAGCAGACCCTCTTTGAAACACCCAGATTTTGGCAAGTTGACTGCCATACTGGATGCCGCAACAAATACCTGAAAGTATAAATCACTCAAACTGGGGTATGCAATTGTTTTTTTCAAGTCTATGCATGAGCAAGCTGAGAGCTATTTTTAAGGTACTTTCTGTGGACATCAAAACCATTGTCAAAAGGTTGAGAAAGCAACATACACTGTATTATTGTTTTTATACCAGCAAAAAAATTCAATTTATGAATGAAAATTCAACATAATTTACCTATTCCAAGCTTTATTAAGAATTAAAAGGTTGAGCTGAGATTCAGGATCGAGGAAAAGCAGCAAGTAATCCAGCAGCTCTGGAGGGAGCCAGACCATGGGGTCGTATGTGCAGATCATGGAGGGGTTTGGCAGACATTGCTGGATCTTATACAAACAGTAGCTGCGGAAAGAAAGATTAAAATATTATTCGAATTACCATATATTTGAAAAATATTTTCAATGAAATTTCATAGAAGTAAATATGTACATAATGTATATCATGTAATATGTATACATATATACACATATTATTTTTCTCACATAAAAAATTAGATCAGTTATTAACCCTTTACCGCCCAATTTTCTGGGACAAAAATCATAAATTTCACTTTTTTGGGTTTTAGTCTCACCTTAAAGCTGACATTCTGACCTATCCAACGGTACCAAAATCATCTCTGTACATTGATTTATGCCTTGACGACAGTTCGCGAAAGGGTTAGGGGTGGGGGAGTTCTTTCACATTCAATATAGGCAAAAATTACCGGCCGGGCACAAAAATAGATGACCTGAAGACGCTGATCTTTAGTTACCCGGCTGCTGTCGTGTGGGTTCACACTTATTGTCACTGCAAACCTATCTCCTCCTAGAGTTTTTAAGCTACAGCAATGAGAAATATACAGTTCGATTTGCAAATAAAAGATCTAGAGATTGGTTGAAGAATTTTTTCAATTTTGTTATAGTTTTGAAAATATTCGAAAGGGTGGAGGGAGAAATCAATTTTTTTTTCAAAAAATGCCCACCCCACCCACAAAAATCAAAATTTTTAAAAACAACAAGGACCAATCTATAGATATGGTCCTTACGCATCGAATGATATGTATCTCGATGTTGTCGCTTGAAAATCCTAGGAGATAGATTTCTACAGTACCCTGTTTTTGGCGGTTTTCTAAGAATTTCACATTTGATTTCACTTTTTTCGAAAAATTCACATGAACAAAAAAGTCTTAGATTTATCTTTTACATATGAGTATCAAGTTTCAAAGTGATTTGTCTGTAAATAACCGAAATAAAATTTCCACAAGAAATTGGAAATTTTATTTCGGTTATTTACAGACAGATAACTTTGAAACTTGGTACACATATGTAAAAAATAAATCTAAGACTTTTTTTATTTGTGTGAATTTTTCAAAAAATTAAAGAAAACGTGAAATTATTAGAAAACCGATGATGGTTTTTTAAGGGGACCGGCTACCCTAAAATTTTCAATTTTGTTACTTACTTTGGAGCATTTCTGATGTATTGTAACACATTGTCAAGACTGTCTTTATCAAACCCAGGTTGATTGTAGGTGTAAGTTGGCTGATAACTCATTTAAAAGCCTTTGTCCACCCAGAACTGTCAGAGTTACTTCAAGAGACTGAAGAGAGAGACAGAGAGTGCAAGTTATTAATATTCAAGGTTCCTTGTTTTCGCAATGTAGCCATATAGGTGACAAAAGGTCACTAGCTCTGCTATGTCAGTATTGTATATTGATTGGCAGACACTTATTAAAACAAAACTTAACAAAATATGCTTACAACAAGATAAAAAATTAAAATCATTGAGGCAACAATTAAAATATTAGGTGAGGTAGGTACTATACAGGCAATTGAGGCAAACAGCTGGCATCAGAGGCTGATCAGACAGTGGAAAAGAGAGAACTTCCTGGCCAGTTAATGCTAATATCAACAGCAGTTACAGGACATAGGTACATAGTAACTGTATCCATTATAAAAACATGGCCATTACCCATTTTTAAATCATTAATAATTGAAACTTTGCATTATTATTGTACATCATCTTCTTTCTACATAATACATCCAACCGGATGATTAAAGGGTTGTTTCTCAATCTTTTCAAACTAAACTACCATCAAATGGGGTAATAAGGGATTGTTTTGAGTGTTTTTTAATAACTTCTTACCATGAAACATTTCATAAACAAGTTTGGGCCCATTTTAAAGGTATCATATGGCATCTCTGAAAGAATTCCATATGCTCTTTGTAAGGTGTAAGACACAAAATAAAAGCCTCCTGAACTAACCCTGGGAATGGGGTAATAAGAGACACTTGGAATAAAACTCAATTTTAAAACATTTGAAGCATGCAGAGTGTACATGTCCAATACTCACTAACAGTACTACTCTGAAGTCTACCTCTTCCTTTGTAGAATGTAGAACAAATGGCATTTTCTGTGTCTTTGTGTCTCTTCTGACTCTGGCATGCGGAAATGGCAGCCTTTTCTTTCTGGAATGAGATACGCTAATCCCATCAATCACATTTTAAGCCAACACCTGTGGGCTGTGTGCAACTTTTCTGTAAGTTAAATTTTCAATACAGAGAATATTTTTTTTTGCTACAGACCTTAGCAGAGGTACTTTTCCAAAACCTTACTTTTCACACTTTTTTTAAAGGATTTTGTAGAGGTAGTAAATGTACGATTTCTTAACTTGCTTTATGCTACATAGATAGGAAAGATGTTGAATTTTATGCCACTATTTTTTGTTTTGCAATATTTTGATTAGTTTAGCTGCCACAACATTTCTACAAAATGTCAGAGAACTGTCCCTTATTGCTCCATAACCCCGCCCATCCCTTATTACTCTGTTTGATGGTACCTATGTAGGTAGTGCTAATTGATTTTTCATTAAGTTGTTGACAAGTTGGAGCCTTGGAGGTAACAGAGAGTAGCAAATGAGCCTCAGGAGCCTTCTTATTAGAAGTGCCAAAAAATTGTGAGGTGGACTAGATGAGTTTAGGACTTCTTAATCCATGGTCACGCTGATGCACTATCGTCATCCTCCGTCTCTGATTCATCGCTAGGCAGGTTGCCCCACCCTCGGGTCCCAGATGTAACATTGGAAGTGTTCTGTAAATTTGCCCTCCTTTGGGCCAGCTGATGCAAGATGCTGTTGCTTGTCACTTGCCAAGGGTAGTTTCCTATTACTGGACAATCCAGGATCTTTCTCCACCAATTGTCCAGTCATCTCTTGAATGTTGCAAGGGTGAACTCCCCTCGTCTCAGTGCTTTTGGCAGGGCATTAAAGAGCCTTGGTCCTACCACGGACAGTGATGCCTCACAGAGAGTCTGTACTCTGGCCGTGGCTTGGTTATTAAATGGGGGAACCCTGCACAGTCTCCCTCTTCTTTCATTGTAACATGTCACTATTCTGGAGATCTCAATCTCAAAGTTGGGAGTCACAGGGTTGGCAATGATTAAATCATATGATTAAATCATTTGATTTTTTTTTATAAAAAATCACAATTTTTTATTTTTTTTTATAGATTTAAATATATTGAGTGGCAGTCTTTCATTTATTTTGACATATTGTTATTCATGCTTTAGTAGAAGTGTACTATGAATGACAAATTGATATTATATAAACTTGTTGCCTTTAGTGTGTATTAGGTTCCAATAAATTGAATGTTTTTGATACAGAGGCATGGCTCTAAATGGTATGTTATGCTAACCTCTAGGAAAATAAACTTTCTTCATTATGTACTTCTATTACTCTTTTATTTTACCTCAAAACTGCTCAATCGGTTCTGCCCCACCCTGTACATTGAGAGGTTGAGATTGTATTGACCTTTTAGGCAATTAGATAGATTTTCCACCCTAATATGAGTATTCTAATTAAAATATTTAATTTCACTCTTTAAATATGTGAATGTAAAACTAGAAACGAAACAATTAGAATTATAAGACTACCTATATATATAAAATAATTAAATGCAGTGAATGGATAGAAAATATTTGAATTGTGCACATGTTTATTTTAAACAATGTTAGCTATGTAAGGTATTCTCTCAACCATCTCAACAAAGCACCATGCACCTCACACTGGCTCAACTTGTATAATAGGCCTAGGCCAGTATGCCAGTCTTTGCCAGACTCTATCAAAGGCATTGGACAGTAGTAGTAGTATGATGGTTTGCTAGCACTTCAGCTATCAAGCTATTTCGCACCAAAGGTCAAAATATAACATCGCCAGCAAGGCGGAAGGTCTCACTTATTCAAAATATAAAGTTAATCATCACCCACATGGTGCAGAAGGTCTCAATTATCCAGCCCGCTGAAGCTGGCTCAAAGGAAGCAGCGTTAGCATCTCAAAGAGACGAAGTGACAGGTGAAAGCACAAAAAACACTTACACACAATTATGACACAAGAACAAACACTGGAGCTGGCCGGCAACAACAAAGTCCTTGGATGCCCACGGCAGCCCACCACCTGACATAAGCAGCACAGAAACACAGCTCTCTAGACTCGAGAGAGTACACGGTACACCTAGCCAGGCTGCGCTGTGGCCACCACCATTCACTACAAACATACGCAAACAGAATAGGCCAAGCAGACACAGACACCTGCCCATCCTGCCAGAGAGCTCCCCACACAATCACTCACATAATAAATAGTCACATTCTCCTGGAATGTCCACTCTGGCAGGACCTCAGATAACACCACCACATAACCTTGACCCTACAGCTCTGGAGCGACCCGCTGTCGATGGTGTCATACTTGCGCGAGGGGGTCTCTTATAATAAAATACTTAATAACTTCTTTGAAAACCATGTTTTTCTTGTGGACCAAAAGTAGAAAATAAATTATGGCTCGCCCCAAAAACGTGTGTTGGGCAGATTTATGCTTAAAGTGAAAAGCACACAACACTTCAACACGCGAATTTTGAAAATTTGATGGTGAACTTACAGCCCGACCCACGTTTTTTGGGGCAAGCCATAATTTATTTTCTCCTTTTTAGTCCATTGCTACACATGGAAAATGTTAAATATATTCACTGCTTGACGTACGTATCAATGATACGCAGCATCAGCGCCTGCTCGTCTATAACATCAGCGCTCGCACACAGAGCTGGGCAGCGCTACCGGTACTACTTTGAAATGTAGTGACAAACCACGGATTTTTTAGAATCAGTTCATTTTTAATTTCTTCATTTACTCACGATTTAAACCAATTTCTTATGTATGATAATGCAGGTATCCAGGATACTTTACTGGTCTACATATAGGACTCAAAAAATGGACTTGAGAGAGTCTAAAAAACTCTCTCCTTTGCCACTATGCGCTACTGCTACATGCTCTAAATGTAGCAGGCGCTACCGCTACAGTCTACACCCGCTAGATTGTAGCGAGTGCTACCGCTACCGCTAGAAACCTACAGTAAAATGTAGCGCCGCTACAATGGCCAAAATTATTGGAAATCTCTAAATATTTATTGTTCTGCTATCGGGATTTACTCATAAACATTTAATGATAATAAAACATTTTCAAAACATATCAATGCAACTTTATTGCAATTAACCTATCCAAACTAGTATGGAATATGGATTAGATACAGTAAATAAAGGTTACAGTTATTTTTATGTTTTACCTTCCCTGCATGGATGTCTACTTTAATCTACCAATCTCAAAAATTATCCACATATACATATAAAATATCAGTCTTTTATTTGTATATATATGTGGATTATTTTTGAGATTGGTAGATTAAAGTAGACATCCATGTAGGGAAGGTGAAACATAAAATAACTGTGTAAAAATTGTGAGCAAACTGAAGCATGAAAAAATACCTGTAAGTGGTAACTGGTAACAACTTAACAAGTATATAACAACTAACATGTTGATTGTTGACACTAGTAACAGGCTGAGGTTGACAATATTACATTGAAATCTTTTGTACAGTTTTATGTAGGTACCTATGTATCATGCTGGTTTTTAAATAATAATTAATACTATTATGTAAAATCTAAAGGCTCTATCTATAAATGTAGCAGTAGCGCTGTTGCCGCTGTAGCGGCAAAACCTCACATTGCTTATTGCTACTTAAATATGTAGCGGGCACTACCGCTACTGCTACAATTGCTTAAATGTAGCGCCGCTACCGCTACATGTAGCGCGCTACTGGCCACCTCTGCCCGCAGCCCCGCACGTCATACATATATATATACTGTAAAATGGGGTAACTTTGACCACTTTTTTTTTCAAAACAATGCCATTTTTTTTACCAGATAAGTTAAACTTAAATTGAAACATGCAAAATACAGGTCTATACTCTAGCTTTACTCACCATAAATTGCTGGCTCCTGCCCCTCATAGTTTTGATGTAATTTCAAAAAAAGTGATGGTCTTTGTTACCCCAGCTCTTGGGGTTTCTTTGACCGGGTGGTAAAATCAATTTTATTTTTTGGTAAAATAACTCCAAATAACTCCAGGTTGTGGTGCATTGTAGTAGAACTCTTCTAGTTACATATGCAAAAGACAAATTTTAGGAAAGTGTCATAGTTTGCAAATGGGGGGCGCCGCCCCCCAATGGGCAAAATGTGACCACCTAATGGCAGCCGTGACGGGGTAACATTGACCGGTTTGGAAATTAAGTTAAAATTACCATATATAAGACTCTGTAGAGTCTGAAACATGAAGAAAAAAACATTAATAGGTGTATCAAACATAAAATATGTTATATAGGTACCTATGGTAATTTTAACTTAATTTCCAAGCCGGTCAATTTTACC